AGCACTGAGTTCATGGACTTGCAGTAACACAATAGGACATAACAGCCGTCTAATTCTTCCAGTTTTTCAATGGTGGTCCAACATCAATTGGCTCATGATCTCAATCAGGAACAAGACTGTTTTTCTATGTCCTTCTTTCTAGCCCAATTACTTCAGTAAGAACTTCATGTTTGTTTCAAACAATCTCTTAATAGCGATCCTAAAAATAATTGAATTACATCCAAGTATATTCACATTATATATTAACTGACCTAGTGATTATTCATTTCAGAGTTTTATCAAACTTAGCAATAGTTGCAGTGGATTCGTCATTGTGATGAAAACGGATCGGAAATCAATTAATTAACTGTATAATTTATGAATTGATTTCCCTCAGAATTAGTTCATACAAAGGAAATGGATTGTTAGTTAAGTGAATGGAAATCGTTGTAAATGAAGTTCAACTCTCTTCCTGATATGTTGTATTTGAGGATTTAGAAATCTAATGCAAGATAATTATATGAATAGAAGTAATAAAGGCGTATGTTATTGTAGTAGTTATTTTGTATAAATAATCGAATCTACCATAACTACTTACTAATAGTAAGTAGTATATTTCAAAGCAAAGCGAGGTATTTTAGAGACGATAATCATTTAGGTTAAACAGTATCTCTGTGGGTTTCGACCTTGTTCTGAATAAATGTACCATACTCCCTGACTGAAAATGAAGAAATTGTTTTAGGTGGAAAACTATGAATAGACCTAACTGCTAGCATTTAAGATATTTCCCAAGTGGGAAATACGATATGAAGGTGAAAAGAGGGCTTTTGGAACGAAAACAAAGAAATGCAAATTTTCCTAATAAAATCACAAAATGAGATCCTTTTCCAAGAGAGTTCTGGGGATTTAATGTCCCCAACATCAGTAATAAGAATGCTTCTGTATGGGGAAATCCATTATAATTCTGTAGAAAAATGAAGAAACATTTCAATATCAACTGATATGTCTAAACGAATCCAGCCACATATACAATCCGATTGCTTCCATTAAACTGTGATATCCAACCTTAATTGATGTTCAATGAAAGTATACATCTGGTTAATAGTGAAATGTGTTCGTCCAGAATATCGGCTAACAATGACTTTACCCGTCACAGTGATTGGTATATAAAGATACACAGAATGTGCTGTGGATTATTTAATCAGGATTATTCTCCACAGTCGCTTTCTCCAATATACACAGGACGTGATAACTAGACGAGTTTTAAAGAATCGAATTTATTAATGGACGTTTCACAGATTTATAAATCACTGACGTGACACTGGATGATCTTATGAGAAAATGACCACTACAATCATTTGAAATTCATTGGTGAATGGTTACAGTGTTTATTCATCGCTGGAGCAAGACCATCTATGAATTGACAACCACAATGTTTACTTTCACTTCATCTTCTTTTTAGAAAAGTAGTAATATTTTGTAAAATGAGAATGTCACTCATCTTTGATGTTTGAGGGCAGGTGATTATCGGCCAAATAAACAAATTATTATGAGAAAGCGATGTTTTGTTTATTCTAATCAAGACTGATATTACACCCACGATACAGAATAGAGAATACCATATTATTTGATTATTTGAGATGGAATGAGGTGATCAATGATAAACAAAGTATAATCATAGCTGATTCTATAAACAAAAAAGAGGTCAACACAAATATGTTTTCGTTCATTAGACAAACACGTTGTTCACACTGAGATTGAAGAAGTAATCAATATTACTTTGAATATTTTATTGGATGTAAGAGAAATGATAGAACTTGATGTGATGTTATATTGAATGTGAAGGATCAGACAGAATTCTCAGTGTTTTTGCAAATCTTATTCCTCAATGCATGCGATCTACAGGTTTGTGGTGATTGTATGAAGTAGGTTTGGTGTAACGATGGAATTGATTAGTTTTCGTGACAATTAACTTCATAAAGCCACTTTATCTACGGTTCAATGCATACTGATTGAGACAGTAACTTAGGAATGGTAATATAGTTATCTATTTCAATACATTCATACATACACTCTCTGCCATACCAGGGTATTTGGCAGCCATGATAAGGTATCATAACCATTGCATTGAATCCTTCATTTGCGAATTTCCATCATTTGTCCATCACATTCTGCATGATTCTTGCAATCTGACCTTATTTTTCCCTGATATTGTATTCAACTCGACCTTCTTAGCCTTCTGCTGTCAGGTTTTCCACTTCCGATCGGTGTTACAAACTACTTATATCGACAGACAGAAGTAGTATACACCATAGCTATATGAATTCTCATTCCACATCACTCGTTTTTCACATTTCTGACTTAGGGTAGCTAAAGAAATTCTGATAAATATACAACAATCTATATTTCGCTACAATTCGAGACTCAATCAGAGCTCTTCTTTACATCCTATTGTTCACTCATCCTTTCAGTACTCAGATGTAAACTATGAAAATAAATCAATGAATAACAATGATCACGTGATCTGATTACTCGATTCATAGTCATGAGAGGTTTGTTAATTAATACATTGAATACAGACAGAATTTGAAAGTCGTTAGTATTTAATTCATTCATTTATTGTTAGTAGATTTTATAAGTCTGCATTAATTAGATCTTTATCTCACCTCAGTCAGTTCGGACGATAATGTTATTGACGAGTTCATCATTTTTGTGTGTCCCTGTTGATTGAGTTCCAGTAGTCAAAGGAAATGTGCACATAGATGTATAGAAATAGAAAAGTATACACCAGTGGTGTTCATAAAAATAAACGTGTGATCATTGATGAGTTTGATTTAAAATTCAATCAACAACTTCTTAAAAGTACAACTGATCTCCTTTCCTTTTGTTTTCATGCAAAATAAATGGAAGAAGTTTCATACTGTTTAAAGGTGATTGACTTATCATTATCATTTAATAGGTTGCATCATTGATTGATATTGGTTAGATAATTATTAGTAACTAAGAGTACTTTGTAGCTTTTTATTCTTAGTATGGAACTCTGTCGAAATGAGCATTCATAATCTAACCAAAGAGAATTGTACCCAACACATTCAAGGAAAGTGTATAACCAGTTCATAGAGTTATAAACCGTCTGTTCATATTTGTAAATTAAACTAATATGTGATATTTATCAAGTATTATACACTGCCATTTGTAGTTGGACTTTGTTGGTGATAGTTTCTCATTAAAAATTTGGGGATAACTTGTTATGATTCATTAACATTATATTTCATTTCTAGTCAGGGTTTATATACTAAAACCTTTAGTCTCAGATTATGTGTTCTTAAGTTTTGATTTTGTGTTTATACAGAATAGTAACCATCAAATATCATGATTTGTATATATTGATAATTTCAATTTTCTTATTGGTATTTAGGACTGAAATTGATCGATCTCTTTCGGCATAGATGGATCTTTGGCAGATCACCTAGATGTTACTATGAAGCTCGAAGCTCTTTAAGCAGAGTACTGAGTTCATATCTTTGATAGAATTCAGGAGATCAGTATTGAATATGGTCATCTATGGTCTAGGTTGTTTAATTTAAGGTTGCTAATGGCTATCCAAATGAATCTATACATCTAATTTATTAACTCAACAGAATTATTTGTCTATAATCTTGGTAGAACTCTTTCCACGAGTGAGATTTGAATATACATCATCAGGTAATATAGTCAAAGATACTACCCTTGGGTGACTCAATCTGATTTTACAGAATTTCCAAAGCTCCAAGTCTCACTGAATAGTTCGTTTTATTTACTGACAAAAATATTCATAATCGTTAATAAACAGTTGCATTATGTCAGATAGTTAAACCATAGTTATTTGTTTGTTTATTTATTTGAAGACAGATATTGGTACAAGGAGGCACTAAATAGATGTGCGCCACACAAATCTCATTTGATTTATGTGAGGGCTGTGATACTGCATGGATGCCCAAACTGAAGTAGGTGGCTTTCTTAGGGGGCCACACCCGGAACTTCCGACCTGAAGGTCTGGTCCACAACACACCCGCCACGAGAAGGCAGTCAGTGAGTCTTCTTTGGCAGTGGTTGTATGCACGTGTCCAAATGACGGCATTTCGAGAGGGAGAGCTGACTCTCCCCTATCTCGGCCGTACCAGGGCATTTGGAGGCAAAATTAATAGTGTCTAACAGTGAAGTCCTATTTGGGACTCGTCAGATGGATGTATCTGCATCGCTTAATAGAACACACTAATCATTCAAAAACACTTCAGTGTGGATGAACATAAGGTGAGTTACTGAAAAATAGAAGTTATCGAAGCATATAGGTTAGTTCTTCATGATAGAAAGCCTGTACAACATCTCAGTAATTAAAAGAAAATTTCAAGTAGGTTATATTTAGATTGCTGAAAAAATTCCCATTATATTAAAAACGCAATTGTATGAGAAGGAAGAATATTCATTTCAATCAATTTCTCATCAGGTTCTACAATCATATCATATCCAAATTAATAATCCATAAAATTGGCCAGATTTAAGACAGAGAGTACATCATCATTTGGAAAGTGTAATATGTGAATAAGGAATTGTTTGTTATAGAAAATGAAATCGTTAATGTTGGGTTGGACTAATATGAAGTGTTAACTTGAATCAGTGTGGTGTTTGAATTGACTAATGATACTTTTGTACATGTTGATTGCACAATTTCGAATTCCAAATACAGTACATTCGTTTGTGCCTGTCTTCTTAATTCAATTGCGTTATTTCTGGGACTATTAGTTCGTGCTATAATTCCAACAGGTAGAATCATTATACTGGCGTCGTGATGGAACCTGCAATGGAAAAGTTGGACATTCATTCAACTTCGGAAGCTTTTGAGGATTATTTCGAAAGGTTCGAAATCTGGGTCATGACCAAGGAAGATGACGAGGATATTAATATTGTGGCATATTTCCTCACATTCATCGGTAAAGAAGCATACAGTTTATTAAGAACGCTGGCTATGCCGGAAAAACCCATTTCGCTTCCTTATACAACTCTCAAGGCATTACTACTAGACCATGTCAGGTATGCAAATTTTGATTGCAGTAAAGAAGGGGAATTTCCTAAAACTATTCATCAGGACATTAAAAGTTCTACTACATCACGTTATCCTAATCCAGTGCAGATTCAAGGTTATGCAAATAATTCATTGCGGAGTTGCAGTGCGTTTCACGAAGATGGGCAGAAGTTTGGTCAGTGTTTGTCCTGTGGCAAGTTCCATGCTTTTAATTCATGTAAATTTCGTAATTCTGAATGCTTTAAATGTGATGATATTGGATATATTCAGTCAGTGTGCAATACTAATGTTCATGTTATTGCAACTAATATTAAGTCTTGTAATTCTGATTCTACTGAGTCGAGTATTTATAATGATGATTTATCTTTATCAACTATTGCAATAGACAGTGAAGAGTCAAAAAGCAGTTCAGAGTTAAATGAAATCCAGAATTCTTGTGAGACAACAGTTCCTAATCAACCGATTTATCAGAATTCTCATGTTATTGTACCAGGTATGACTTTTCCTAATGATTCACATATTTCTGATGAAATTTCTTACAAATCTGAGGAAAATATGTTAAATGAACCTATTCATTATCAAAAACCTGAGGCAGTCATGATAGATGCTAATTTTTCTAATGATCCATTGCTCTGCAATGACATTCTTAGTCAATTTCATGAAAATATTTCAGTAGAATCAAATCCTGATGTCATATGTATTACATATCCTCATAATGCATTTGCTCCTTGTGAAAAACTTGTTCAATGCAAAGCACGAATACTAAATGAGCTCGATTTTGATTACATTTCTGATGATTTCATATCAACTGTTGTTCATCCTTATCACAAAAACACTTCTAATGTTTACTCTAATCAATGTGATAAATATGTTTTAAATGAAGCTACATTATTCATAACTTGGGAATATAAAGACCCAACATTATTTCGTGGGGGGGGGATAGCGTTGAAAAATCTATGGTTCCAATTCGAGATATGAATCATTTCAGTACAAAACCGATATGTTGATTGTATACAATTCCAGGTGAGTCTGTTTCGATTTCGTTTGTTAATTCCCATACTAATGAGCACATTCTAGATACTACAAAGTTTTCATCCAGTACAATGTCGGACAGACTCAGGATGAACTTAACAAGAAAACATACAACCGATTGCAAACACTTATACTTCTATTTAAGCTGTGGCGGATGTGGTGTTTGAATTGACTAATGATACTTTTGTACATGTTGATTGCACAATTTCGAATTCCAAATACAGTACATTCGTTTGTGCCTGTCTTCTTAATTCAATTGCGTTATTTCTGGGACTCTTAGTTCGTGCTATAATTCCAACAGGTAGAATCATTATACTGGCGTCGTGATGGAACCTGCAATGGAAAAGTTGGACATTCATTCAACTTCGGAAGCTTTTGAGGATTATTTCGAAAGGTTCGAAATCTGGGTCATGACCAAGGAAGATGACGAGGATATTAATATTGTGGCATATTTCCTCACATTCATCGGTAAAGAAGCATACAGTTTATTAAGAACGCTGGCTATGCCGGAAAAACCCATTTCGCTTCCTTATACAACTCTCAAGGCATTACTACTAGACCATGTCAGGTATGCAAATTTTGATTGCAGTAAAGAAGGGGAATTTCCTAAAACTATTCATCAGGACATTAAAAGTTCTACTACATCACGTTATCCTAATCCAGTGCAGATTCAAGGTTATGCAAATAATTCATTGCGGAGTTGCAGTGCGTTTCACGAAGATGGGCAGAAGTTTGGTCAGTGTTTGTCCTGTGGCAAGTTCCATGCTTTTAATTCATGTAAATTTCGTAATTCTGAATGCTTTAAATGTGATGATATTGGATATATTCAGTCAGTGTGCAATACTAATGTTCATGTTATTGCAACTAATATTAAGTCTTGTAATTCTGATTCTACTGAGTCGAGTATTTATAATGATGATTTATCTTTATCAACTATTGCAATAGACAGTGAAGAGTCAAAAAGCAGTTCAGAGTTAAATGAAATCCAGAATTCTTGTGAGACAACAGTTCCTAATCAACCGATTTATCAGAATTCTCATGTTATTGTACCAGGTATGACTTTTCCTAATGATTCACATATTTCTGATGAAATTTCTTACAAATCTGAGGAAAATATGTTAAATGAACCTATTCATTATCAAAAACCTGAGGCAGTCATGATAGATGCTAATTTTTCTAATGATCCATTGCTCTGCAATGACATTCTTAGTCAATTTCATGAAAATATTTCAGTAGAATCAAATCCTGATGTCATATGTATTACATATCCTCATAATGCATTTGCTCCTTGTGAAAAACTTGTTCAATGCAAAGCACGAATACTAAATGAGCTCGATTTTGATTACATTTCTGATGATTTCATATCAACTGTTGTTCATCCTTATCACAAAAACACTTCTAATGTTTACTCTGATCAATGTGATAAATATGTTTTAAATGAAGCTACATTATTCATAACTTGGGAATATAAAGACCCAACATTATTTCGTGGGGGGGGATAGCGTTGAAAAATCTATGGTTCCAATTCGAGATATGAATCATTTCAGTACAAAACCGATATGTTGATTGTATACAATTCCAGGTGAGTCTGTTTCGATTTCGTTTGTTAATTCCCATACTAATGAGCACATTCTAGATACTACAAAGTTTTCATCCAGTACAATGTCGGACAGACTCAGGATGAACTTAACAAGAAAACATACAACCGATTGCAAACACTTATACTTCTATTTAAGCTGTGGCGGATGTGGTGTTTGAATTGACTAATGATACTTTTGTACATGTTGATTGCACAATTTCGAATTCCAAATACAGTACATTCGTTTGTGCCTGTCTTCTTAATTCAATTGCGTTATTTCTGGGACTCTTAGTTCGTGCTATAATTCCAACAGGTAGAATCATTATAATCAGTTTATAAACGAAACGAAATTGTGAGATAAATTAACAGAATAAATATGGTCAACATGGGGTAAGAGAGAGAGAGAGAGAATATTGTGATTACAAATCGGAAATTGCGTAATATATAAAATAATTAGGTCAAATATAGTAGATTCAGGGGTGGATATTAAATAAGTTCCTCAAAAAGGGGTTATCACATGTAAAGACAATAATAGTAATAATAATAACAGTAATAATAATAATAAGTTTGGGACATAAAATGAACATTAATCAGATTACGTCACCACATTATAAGATTGTTTATTAGCTAGTTGGACAGGGTAAACGTAGTGGCTGAATATACTTCTTTTAGATACAAAGCTCTGGCTTTTTGATCCGAATAGCAATTGCTTCAGCTGTATGTAGGATTCGCAGTCTGACGGAATTAGGTAGACTGCTGTTGACACGATAAACTATTGCAAAAGATTGCTCGATGTTGGCTGTATGTCCTGTTTGGACTAAATGGTCTAATATGGAGCTGTTAACAGTTTTGACAACACCTTTGCTTAATCACACGGGTAGGTGCTTACGAGTCCGAATGCACAAATTCCTAGAACATCTGCCAATATAACTTGCTCCACAGGAGCAGTTGAATTGTGAGAAAGAAATTGGGGGTAAAATGGCCTTCCTAGATGTTCTGCTTACAAGGAGACCCAAGAGATCGATAAGTTTTCATTGTACTGTCGACATATGGATGATACATTTATCCTTTGTAAGAAGCATACGGACTTGATAAGAACACTCGAGCAATTCAATACAGCTCACCCGTCCATAAAATTCACATGTGAGAAAGAAAATGGGGGTAAAATAGCTAGAATTTTACTGTTGGGCCCAAATCGAGTGGCTATATTAGTTAAATGCTCTGTGAAAGATTTGACTACATGGGATTAGTTTCTCAGTGAGTTCACACTGTTGAAGATCTCCATACCATGATGAGACAGCTGTCCACTGCTCCATAGTTTTTAATGTCACCTCGACCAACATCAGTTTGTGATGAACACATCTTACAAATCAAACAGGTTTTCACAAAACCTCCTTCAATTCCAATTTTTAGAAGATGAAAGTACTCTATACGTTTTTGTTTTAATTTGTATTAATTTATGCAAACACGACCAGTAGAGACCAACTACTTTGGGTATGATATCATCATACAATATCACCCAAATTGACTGAGGTAGAAAATGTGTCTGAATCGATGCCAACTCAATTGTCTGAATTTAATATGATTACCTCTAGAAATATTTAGACAAGAGGTTAACATTTCAAGAGCTAAAACGATGAGACTATAATTTATGGACGACCCTTGAGCGACGCTAAACTGACCTCGAGTATGTCCACCTACTAACTAGGACTAAATCAGTGTTATTGTGATTCACAGTTGATAGTTAAGGTTTGTAGTTGTCAATTCCAAGGTTTGAGTCTTGAGTAAATTGTTGTTAATAAACGTAATATTCTTATATTGTCTTTCTTAATAACTCGGTGTATGTGTGTGTATGTTAAGGAATTGGATACATTAAAGGGTGATATATTTATAAAACTCCAATCAACGTAACTTGTTGTTTTAGAAAAGACTCATCTAAGATCTTTTCAAAATGGATAAATACACTTTCATCGCACATCAAATTTACGGATGAAAATAAAAATGAACGTGGTGAGCTACCATTCTTGGATTGCTTAATAAAAAGAAATCCAAATGGAATTCTAAACCTATCCATTTACCGAAAACCTACGCACTCAAATTGTTATGTTGACTTCTATTCAGCACATCCTTTTAGTGTTAAGATCTCGTTAGCGTTAAATCTTTTTAGAAGAGCTAATAAGATCATCACATCAGAAGACGACAAACAAAAAGACCAATAGAATGTTACTAGTATCTTACAATTTAATAATTTTCCTATGAAGATTATTAGCAGTATATTAGGAGGGTTCTTATAAGTAAGAGTGTTACCGCATCATTTGATCACTTCTGTACAACAATATAAATGATACACATTGTTTAAATGTTTCGCGAATGTTGTATATAACAGATAATTGATTGCTGTCATAGATGTTACAATCTAAAATGTGATGAGTTTCACGATGATGTGTCAATTCCAATTTATTGAATGGAGAGGGATGCAGCTAGGAGAAAATTACCGTCATGAATGTCAAAATTTCTATCAGAGAACGCGGAAAAAGAAGAATAGTATTTCAAGTAGAGAGGTGATAAATTGGTGAAAATAGAGAGGTGTTAATTGATATAGAGATTTAAAAACAATTTACATTGGTTTCTCTTAATCTGTTCAATTGATCAAAGATACACCTGTTTAGCCAATAACATAATGACCAGAAAGTTCTCAGCCTATTAACCAACGAAGCTCGTTATTTTCACTGTGATCAATCAGAACACGAAAACAATCAAATTTGCCTTCTGTTATTATATTATCCTCTTCATTCAAAACTCATTGTTTACGTAACTGTGATAATTAGGAGTATTTGAATTATAGTACAAACTAAGGATTCCAGAAATTACGCAATGTAACTAAGAAGTGTGAGATAATCACAAACAAACAGCAGTCACCAAGTGTTATGACCCGATAAGCATAATGAATGGCAACTTTTGGGATCCATTATGGACCAATACTATTTTTATCTTATGATTGTTAAACAACTAAATTATTCATATTCATGTCTTTCTTATTATGAGCATCATTGTGATCTAACAACTATTATTATATGATTTACCATACTTGAATTATGCCCTGTCTATCAAATTCTGTCTCCCTTATTCACAGCCACATTTTACTAATTCGTGTACAAATTCTGTTTCATATTTTATGGTACGATGTGGTCTGTCCGGTTTGTATATAAACCCAATATGCTTGAAATAAATGATTCATATTGCAGAGGCTGAGATTGTTGTTGTGGACTTAAGTGACTGGGCTAGGCAGGAAGCAGGACCAATCAGGACTCCAGACTGCTCCTACGGTTTTTTGCATCACTGATCCGATCGACAATTCACTGCTCTCTAATTGGCGGTGCCGTTATGGTATACACTAACAGGGCACCTAGGCCACAAGATGTAACACCAAGTATAAAGGAATCATCAGTTCATACAATGAACACAGTAACTCAATTACATAACCATAACACATTGCAAATAAGAAACTACATTGTGTACATAAGTAGGTTATTTATGGCGCAAAACTGAGCTGCGTGCTAATGATGAATTCACTATAATTTAGGGACAGTGAAATTCATTACAACAGTTAATGAATAGAATGAAAGCTTTCAATGATATCCGTACAAAAATATCTTAAATCAAGTATTTAACAAATATACAATACAATTACGTGTGATAATTCTTCATAGAATCGTTTTAAAAGTTCGATTATTTTCAATTATTCCTGTCCGATGTAGTCTTTGTGATCCCATGTTTGTACTGTCAAGGAATTCACAGTTTTGTTCACTAACTTATTTTCCTTAGAGTGGTTGGAGTATTTTTTTGATCTTCCGTAAATAATGGTTGCCCAACACTAATATTCATTAAGAAATCTATATATGAAATAGTGGACAGAATTCTGGTCAATGCTGAAGTCTAGACAAACATGCAATTGCTCACTACTCAATTTATTCATCGTAAACAAATCATTTCTACATCAGATCAGTTTGAACCCGAATATCTCAGTGTTAACATCTCCGACTGGGAAATCGAATAAAGTTGGTCCGAGTTCGGCGAAGAACATCATTTCCCTTCATATCATTCATACTCCTTGTTCGAGAGTATCAGTAAGCACGATATCTAGATCGGACAAAGCTTTCTAAAGAATGTCTTCTATCTAATAAGGCTTAAGGAAACCCATAAGCCTAAATTCCTGGTCTATGAAAATTCAATTCTTTCTTTGACTTACGTTAAACGTGAACAATAATGAGAGCCGAAAATGAATGTATATATATTAGTTTAGAGAATTATGAGGGTTGATAGATTTAACAATTCAAAATTGTAGACTTACTTCATTTGAAGTGCCATTGGAATATAAAAAGCATTAGACAACTACTTCATCTTAATATAGAACTCCTCATCGATATGCATATACGACTCCGCTAATGATCAAACTCATAACCATCAGGTTTTCTTGTCTATATATTTTAAGGAATTATTTATCACTACACATCCGTCAAGGTTACCAATTCTATAAGTATATTATTGTTAATAATATCTTTTCTTGCTACTACCTTATTTTCAGTAGTTTATGAATTACTGATTAGTATTATTTATTTTGTTTTGTAAAAGATAGTGAATAGATTAGCCTGCTAATATCACAATATCGATCACGATCACATCATTAGTTGTTAATCAATGAAATTGTTACTAACTTTGATGAAATAATGAATACGTCGTTAAAATACAGACTAATGAAATAGAAAACTTCTTTATTCTTCTATGAACTTGAATGAAGTCATTGGTTTACAGAATTATTCAGTGAATTACCATGTAAAGTTAAGATGTACTATGTTCACTTACAAAGAAAAGAGAAACTGTTTTCTGCTCTTATATTAATCAATTACAAGTTTATGTATTGAACTTAAGGAGGGAAACTGTATTTCAT